AGTGTCACTGGCCCTCATATGTGGGATCCGAACCGGGGCCCTCTGGCATCCCAAGCGAGTTCTTAACCATCGCGCCACTCGGCCGGCCCTAAATAAAGTTTTTTTTGGAACATAGGTACTCTTATTTGTTTAGGTATTGTCTCTGGCTGCTTCTATGTTACAGTGGCAGAGTTGAATAGTTGCAACAAAGACCTCATTGCCTGCAAAGTCTGAAATATTTATGTTTATAAATGCTGATTTAGGTATATAAATTATCTAAAAGCACACTTCTATTCCTGCTAGCCACATTTCAGGTGCTCAGTCAGCACACATGGCTAGTAGCAGCTTTATTGCACATCACAATTGGACATCATATTACCTTGCATCCTTATGTATGTGCGCCACTTCATTGCACCTTGTCAGAGTAAACTTTCAGTGAAGCTACCTTGGGTTAAACTTGCTGCATGGGTGGGTAAATTAGCAAAGCCAACACAAGGCCGTTTCCTTTGCAAGTGGAAGCAAGAAATAGACCGTTGACATATAATGGTATTAATCATGGACTTTTTATCCATTAAAAGACAAAGTTTTCATGAAAAGAAAATAAATTGGAATAATAAATGTCAAAAGTGTCAAATCAATATGTATGGTGTCTACCTCTGAAAAGTTTATGGGGCCAACCTTTAAAGGTATTTTTAGAAGTATAGAATGTTGCCAGGTTTTACTCTTATGACTTAAAATTTTCAACTTGGGTTCCAGTGAAGCAGTCATATGAAAGGTTCCTAGCTTCTTGTCTCCTTTGCTTCCTGCATCTGTTTTCTTGGATTAGTTAGGTATTACACCAGAGTCTACAATTCTTTTGGCTACAAAGCTTGCTCTGCTGCTTCCCTTCCCCCCAGCCCACTTTATTGTGGGTGGGAAAATTTTTGTTGGGAGGGCTTGATTAATTAGAAGGGATTCCTGCCTTCCCCTAGATGTGGCAGCTTGGGAAGATTACAGAGCCTTGTTTGGTGACAGGCCAATCTGTATTTAAGGAAAAACTCGACCAGCCAGATTTCCCTGGAATGTGGATCTGGCTTTGTCTTCTTCCACAGGGAATGTGTAATGACCCCCTCCTCCTCCTTCCCACCGTTCCAGGAGACTTAAAGCTTTAACTTTTGCTGTTGATAGTTGTTCACTTTTTATTAGGGGGGTGGGGAGTAAGACAGGGTGGGGAGCTGAATTTTTGGGGTAGGAAGGGTGAGTCATTTTCTAAATCTAAAATAACAGGCTTAAGATTTTATTAATGTTAATGAGGGGAGATTTTACTTTTTAAAAATCTCCTTGACTCTATTATTTATGTTTCCTTTCCACTACTTTGTAGCAGTTATAGTTTTATGTTCTGCTCTGAAATTTCAGTTAACCTTAGTCTTTGCATTCCTTAGAACAACCACAAAAAGAGAAATATGCCCAAGAATTGACAGTAATTTCCCCTTTGTAGTAAAAGTACAAGTGAAGAGCAATGCTTTGAACTTCCACCGAAAGAAAGTTGAATAGCAAATGGGCTTTTGTCTCTCTGGTTTGCCTGGATGAATAACTTCAATTCTGTGTCCTAGGGTTTTCAGTTACCGAAAGGGGAATGTGGTACTGACTTTGTCATCAGTGCTCATTTGAAAATAGATGCATTGATTTTGTGTATTACATTGAAAAAAAAAGATTTATGCAAATATCTTTATATCAGTTGAGTTCGTTTTAAGAAAAAAAAAACAACAAACTGAAGTGTCCTAACAGAATAAATCACAAAAACTTTAAATGGTTACATTTTTTTACTAGAAATGAATTTGAGGAGTGTGCAACCTTTATCCCTAGCAATGTTTTTTTGTTTTGTTTTTTTTTTGTCTTTTGTGAAATTTTTTAAAGTGGAAGAAGTACCTCTGTATTTCTTTTCCTGGTAGTTAAACTCTCCATATTCTAGTTCCTTCTTAATTCTGCCTATTCCTTGGGGGAGTTTGAAATTTTAAAGGCATGTAGAATCAGTAATAGTTTGCCTAGTGGTTGATGACATACTCAAACTAAAGTAGGCTGCTTTTTTTCCCATTGCATATTATTTGCTCTGTTACATTGCGCACGCTGGAAACTATTCAATTAAATGTGTGCTGATTACTTGATAGAATCGAAATAAAATTCATGAAAGTTCACCAACAGTTACCCAGTTAATTCCGCCTCAGGCTTAAAGCTTTTAGGTAACTTCTCACTCAATAGGGCATTTGCTCTGAGTGTTGATGACTTTGAAATAAAGTTCTTGTTGGACCTGAAATGCAACTTCCTTTTCCAAGAGTTCTCTCTGCCTTTCTGGCCAGACACCCAATTTTCTGGGCTTCATTTTCCCAGTTCTTTCCCATGTGTATAAGCTCATCTATTCTTTTTTTTTTTTTTTTGGATGATTAGAAAGTGTTTCACTACAGCCCTGGCTTCCTATCCTGTTTTCAGTTTTAAATTGTCACCTGCCACCATGAAGTCTCTGCCTAAATTGATCTCTGAAACCTCAAACTAAAAATTCAGTTCATCATAGTTTTCTTCTAAACTCACTTTGCTTCGAATGGCCCTGGTACTACCCTCACACATCTTGAGCTTGCCAAATTTGATGCATCTTTGTTCTTTATTCTTAATTCCCTATTTAATGCATCCATCCTCTGTAGAGTATTTTGGACTTGCTGCATCTCTCTTTTCTTACAAATTCGACCTTTATTATCCTTCTTATTTGTATTTCTGCCTTAATCTCTGTGCCTTTCTTGTCCTGCCATTTTAGTTCATCTAGACCAGGGATTGGCAAACTGCGCTCACAAGCCACATGCAGCTCTTTGGGTACATTCCAGCTCAAAATTTGCTGACCCCTGGAAGAGCCAATCCTGTCCCTCACAACAATTTAAAAATTATTCGAGAGCCATAAATATATTGTTACATAATCACCATTAGTGAATAATATCCTTTAAATTTTTTATAAATGAAACTATGATAGTTTTATTTTTTTTCAATTTTACTTCAGAGCCACATGTATGCACCCAAAGAGCCGCATGTGGCTCGCGAGCCACAGTTTGCTGACCCCTGGTTTCTCTTCCGTCTCAAAAGTTTTCTGACCCCTGATCTAGACAAGTGTCAGGGTAACACCATTTTCATTTTTACTTCCTTGCTTAAGGGATCAGAGTAATTCCTTTTGTTTAATCAGATCTAATGTAAACTCTCCAGCTAGATTTAAAGCACTCTGATAACTATTCTCCCTTTCCTCTTTAACTTTGACCCATGGTTTTATCTTGAAACTTGGGAACATGGTCCACCTAGCCTCTGCCCGTCAGCTTTGTCCAGGCTTGACCAAAGACTCGCTTTTCCTTCGATGCACGATCCAAACTTTCCCATATTGATTACCCTCTCACTTTGTTCCTTTGACCACTATATGCAGCTTATATGTCATGTTTATTGTCAAGTGTATATATGCTTTTACAACGTACTATCCCAGCCACATTCTCTGAGAGAAGGACCTGTGCTCTGCTTCTTTTGTATCCACACAGACCCTGAGTAATCTGGAGCATTTCTGAGGTGCCCAGCACCCCTCACTTTCTTTATTACTAAGATGAGAAGTTTCTTCCTGCATGGCTCATGGAGAACAGGGAAGTCATTCAGGCTTGGAGCTGTTTCTTACTGGTCTTTTTTCAGTTCCAGACAGAGAATGTTGTAATCTTCAATTTGTGGTACATTTCTTAAAAAAAAAAAAAAATTCATCTCAACCTATTTCTCCTTTTAGGAGTCCACAGTTCCACTTTGAAAATTTTTAAGTAATTCTCTTGAAAGCAGCTTCTGTTAGTAGCCAGAATGATAGTGGGTAATGTTTGCTTCTATATGTCCTTTAGGAAAGTAAATTCTTTCAGTGTAATAATGTTAATTATTTGAACATTATTGTATTTTATTTTAATTAACACCTTAGTGTTAGACCTTATACTTTTTTTTGCAACATACATGTGCTTTGTATGTTATTAATTTATTCTAATGTAAAAAATAATTCTTAGTGGAGGAGTAGACTCAGGATCTCTCACAGATACGAGAACTCTGAGAGTTCCTGGATTCTCTCTGAGTGCTGTAGAGGGCATCATTGTTCCATGTTTTGGAAAGTAACTGCAGACATTGTGATCCAAGGAAGCACAGCAACTAAAGTGCTTTCAAAATCGCTGGCTCATTCCTAAATTATCATGACATCCTAAACGTCTGTGTGTGTTGGCCTGGGAGTTATGTGCATGCTCTCATCCACAGCCTGTTATGCCTGTGGATGTTTAGATTGCTATGTCTTACTGTTCTCCTCACCAGGAAACAAGACCATTAAGTGCATCAGGAGAAAACAATCACAACAACCCAAACTATCCAAAGTGGCCTGAGAGAAAGCATTCTCAGAGTGACACAAGACTGTGTCTGGCATGCTTCTTTCTCCAACTCAGGAACTGGACGTGACTGGCTGAGAGTAAGGATCCCCTTTGTCCTCGGAAAGCTTTGGGACCCCAGCCCAGCCCTGGTTCTAGCAGTAAAGGCTAAAGGGGTTCCACTGGGACTGGGACAAAGCCCTTGCAGTCACGGTGTTATTACAGTTACTGCTCTTTTTCCTGACTTTTCCTTATTGTTATCATTACTATTAGTGTGGGGGATGCTTGGTTGAGCAATTGAGGAATTGAGGGACTGACAGTGTTCTTGCATTCTGCAATCCCTGGGAATTTCACAGAAATGACAGTCCGCTGACGGCCTGTATGTGCAGCAACCCAGTCATTAGCCAAATAATGTAAAAAGATGCAGTGTCCACTTATTGTCCTTTAAATACTTCTCTTGTAGTAACCTCTTGGAATATCCATGATTGAGTAATATAGAAAACTAGACCTGTGTGTGTGTGTGTGTGTGTGTGTGTGTGTGTGTGTGTGTGTGTCTGTTGCATGTAACATGTGATAATAACATTCTGACTTTCAGACTACTAGAAATATCAAGTAATGAGTTTTTAATAGTGACCCTACCCACTCACATAGGCACATGCTATATTTTGCTAGTATGATCTCAGACAACAAAGACTGTTAACACAGTTTGGTTCATAAAGCTATAGTGTCCTATAGATTCTGGCAAGGTATGTGCCAGGTCTAGCATCCCAGTTCTCATTATCTGAAAAATTCACTACCTATTTGTTGAAAAAAATACACGTATAAGTGGACCAGCGAAGTTCAAACCCATGTTGTTCAAGAGTCAACTGTATGTATTTTGAATCAGTATTGACAGCATGCGTAGTTCTAAATTTCTGTGATTCTTCTTTATATTCACGTTGCTCTAGGGTCTTTTATAGCACTTCTTAAAAATTAGATCATCAGATTTTTGAGGAAAGGATTCTAGAAAATGAAATTAGCATCAGACTTAATCAGGTTTTCTGAATTCCTGTGGTTTCACTTGTGAAAATCGTATGACTTTGGGTGACTCCCGTTAGCTCACTGAACATTCATTTCTTTAATGATTGCACTATATGTTTGACAGGGTTTCTTGTGGGTAGCAGATTAATAACAAACAACATAATCCTGTGACTGTGTTTGGGAAAATAATATTTTGTGCTTGTAATGGGCCTTCAGTAATTTTGTGTGTGTGTGTGTGTGTGTGTGTGACATTCTGTTTAGTTTTCAAGGGACTTGGCCTTGATGTCTTATTTGTTCCTGGTCTCATAATTCTTTGGAGTGAGGACTAGTTTTAATTCTTTTAATATGTGAGGTGTCAGTTAGCAAATCTTCATATCCCTGGCATGCTAGGCCCTAGGCTAGGCCCTAGAGACACAGGCAAGGCTGATGATCACCTGTCCCTCTCCTTAGGGGGATTTGCAACGAGAAATTAAAGTATCAAACTTTAAATAGCAGGAGACTAGTGGAACACAGAGATGCCAGAGTGCTCTGCATAGCTGAGTCATGACCTGTTTCTGAATGGGCTATTAAGGCAAAACCACAGGCCAGTCAATCTGTTGGGTGCCCGATTTGTGTGTCAGCTTACAGTGGCAGGTGGTCAGGGCTAGAAGTCGGGTTAGGTGTTAGCCTTTGCTGTTGGTTCCTGACAATGGACAGGTCAGTTAACCTCTTTTGTTTCAGTTGTCTATGGCTTTGTAACCAACTAGCCTGCAACTTTTTATAATTCCATGGGTCTGAAAATCCAGCTGGGCAGTTTTTCTGCTTTACATGGTATTGCCTGGGGTCACTCACTTGGATGCATTCAGATCCCGCCTGGGCTAGAGAGCTCGAGAAGGCTTCACTCACATGTTGGGTTCTGCTCCATGATGCTTCTCTTCACAGGGTGTCTTGTCATTCAGTAGTCTAGCTTGAGCTCCCTTACAGCATGATGACTGGCTTCCCCAGAGAACGACAGTGGAAGCTGCCAGGCTTCCTAAGGGCTGCATCTGGAACTGGCAAACTGTTTCTTCCACCGTATTCTTTTGGTCAGCAAGCAGACCTGGGTCTCCTACAAGGTCTGTAGGAGAGGAAATAGACTCTACCTCTTGATGGGAGGAGCAGTATGCTTATACAAAAGGGGGGTGGGCAATTATTAGTGGCTATCTTTGGAGATTGTTTACCACAGTTCCCTTATCTATTAAATGAGGTATTGAATTTAGAAGCCTCTAAGGACCTGTCTAGCCCTACATTTCTATAATTCTGTAAATTTCTATTTGAAGATTTATTTATTTATGTATTTATTTATTGATTGATTTTTGTATATTACATAGTAGAAAGAATTTGGACTTAGGAGGCAGAAAGGCCAGGGTTTGAATCAGAACCTTAACATTGACATGCACTTTGGGAAGTGACTTAGCCTTTCTGAGCCTTTGTACCCATATGTTAAATAGGGTTAATTAAATTGTGTTAATATAAACTCCCTTCTGGGATAATTGTCCACCTTATTACAGAGTCATCACTCATAGTGTTAGCATCTTTCTCCTTTCCCTTCCTTGTTACCTGATATGGGCATTTTCAAAGCCAACAGTAGCTGAAGACATTAATCACAGTTCTTTTTGTTTAACTCTACTATGAAGGTATTCAGGTGTTTCGTCGTGTTTTGCAGTACTAGGCGATTTTTCTGAGACCAGGAGTTCAAATAAGACTGTTCAGTTTGTTCACCCATTTTGGTGTTATAAGTTCTACCTAGAACATTGTTGTATTTAGAAAGCATGCTTGAAAATAATAGTTTGAAATGCACTTTGGTCTGTGAACAGCTGATTTATTGGGCATTTTTAGTATCTTTTCTGGAAGAAAGCAAAAGCCATGTAGGGTGGCCAGCTGTCAGCCTGGCTGTTTTGGACTGTGGCAGTGCCTCTGCTGTGGACCGGGGCTGATAGAGGAAATGGGCGTGCGCATCTTCCACCATGCCATTTAGATGGGTCCAAAAGTTCAGAGACTAAGAGAAAGACTGTATTCTCTAAAGCACGGGTTCTCCGAGTGTGTTCCTGGACCAGCAGTATTAGCATCTCCTGTACTAACTGCAGTATTTTTGTCATAGTGCTATTGGAGGGTTAAATGAAATGATACCTATAAAGTGCTTAGCATAGCTAACCATTATAATAAACGTTAGGCACTTTCAGTAACATCATCATACTAAATGTTATTGTGATTAATTTTTTTCTTTCAGGATATTTTATGAAGCAGCTTATTTTGCAATTATTCTTAAAACTACCAGAGTTCTTGTTAGTCCTTTTTATTATGTGACCACAAGTTAAAAAGAAAAGAAGAGAAAAAAACTCCACATAAAGAGTTTTGCTTAAGGACATCAGTATCTACAACGAAGAAAGAAATGGTGTCTAGAGAGAGAATGACTTTTAAAGGCAAACTCCAGAGATCAGACATTGCCAGGGGATTCATTAAATGGTATTAATGACTCCCACAAACATGAAGGCTTTGAACATATTTGCATAACTATGTTATATGGTCTCTCAACAACCCTTTAGACTAAAGAATCTCTTCTTTGAAATTATGGGCTTTTGTTAGAGCACCTTCAGACTTTGCTGAGGCAAGTCTTCATTTACTTGACAACTTGAAATATTGTTAGACTAAAAGACTACGGCTACCCCAAAAGGAAGGCTGGCTGGGCCATGGAGGACTGGGCCGTGGGGGCCTGGGCAGGGGCCAGAGCCTGTATACCTCAGCCCGCTGCCTTGTTCACTTCCTCTTTCCTTTCCCTTACCACTGTGCTTAAGCCAAATGAAAAGCAGTTTCTTTGCCTTTGGGTTTTGCTGATTCAGAGGCATGGGTGCGCTCTGGGATGTCACTGACCGCTGAGCTGTCAGCCATAACATACCTCAGCCTCTCTCTGGCCCCTCCTTCCAGGATTGGAAGCTTTGCTTTCCCTGAGGGCGCCACGGGTTCAGTGATTGATGGCTTGTTCTTCCCTGTGCGTCCTGGTCCTCGTCCTCTTGTCTCTCACCTTAGGCCATCATGTGGAGTGGCTCACAGGAAGCTGCATTTCCCTCACAGCATGGGCTACCCAGGTTGAGCCAGGGGCCCAGAGAGCACTGTGCTCAGGGCTTCCAACAGTGTTCCCTGAAAGTTCCTGGTTCCCACGGAGGCCCAAGCCAGAAGTCTCTCCCTGCACTAGCCCAGGTGGCTCAGCCGCCATCAGTTTGATGTGCTGAGGTCTTGCCTAGAACTTAGCTGGGGTCTGGGGAACATAAAAGACACTGAACAGCACTGATGTAGTCCAGCTCCTTCATGAAGGAGATGAGAAGCCCTGTGGAGCAGGAGGTGAGGTTCTGAAAAGCTGTCTAAGAGAACTAAGTGCCTCATTTAGAGACATAAGCATTCCGCTGGGCAGGTGCTAGTCAAGGCTCTCGAGGAAGAAACACACCTGTGCAAACCCCTGGAACTGGAAAAGTGTACTGTGTATGGTAGTGGGCAGGACAGGCTGTGTATAACAGCTCCACCGTGGGCCTCTTTGAGAAACAGGACCTTGGTCTCTGCGCGTTCCTTGTTTTCCCTCTGCTGGCCTCTCTCCACTCCCCAATGCACACTGTAGATCAGGATGGCTCCTCACCTCCCAGGTGACGTATTTTGCAAGACTGCTATGCTTTCTGCATCAGTAAGCAAACTTCTGGAGGTGAGTTTGGATAGGTGTCCACCTTTGCTCCAAAGACTGTGGTACAGGGGCAATGTCACTTAGTGCATATGTGTCTCTCTGTGCCTGTGCCCACCCTTGGCAGTTGTCAGAAAAATGGGCACAGATTGCCCCCCAAAGTTAATATAGCAGTACCTCATGGTTTCGAGACTTTACTGTAAAGTTTCTCCTTGGCAATGCCATAGACAGGCCTTCTTACAGAACATGATAATGAGTACTTCAAGTTTCTAGAGAGGCCCCAAGATGTAGCTAAAATAATCTGACCCTTGAGAAGTTTCTCTAGGTTACTGGGGGTGAGGGTGCTCATAATTACTGCTTTACTTACAGTTTGCAGCTTGCTTTATTGTTGGTGTG